GCTCTTCCGGTAACACCTGATCCTAGATTTACCGAGCTACCTGAAATTAACAGTGCGTGCGAATAATCGAATAAGCGATATCGACAGAACCGTACGACTCTGCTTCTTTGCCTTCTTCCTGGAACTTAAAAACTAAAATAATTATTACGATTGCCGCGTGCTTTATCGTAATCGTTATTTGCGACTCTTCTTTTCTAGAACCTATCGATCGGACGAGGGATCGTGAGCAGGACGCGAGCATCCTGCGATCGATTGATTAATAAGGCTAAACCGTGAGAATGGAGAAATGTATCTAGTCGGCCTGGAGATGCCCGGATCGTTCGTTCCCGAGTCATTCCCTCGGCAAAATATCTTCGCAGTTTACAAAAAGGTTCCGTTTAATGCTGGAAAGCGAAGCCATGATCGTCGGTAATTTTCCAAACGAGCGTGATGGCGTTGGTCGTGTGTATCGGGGTCCTACCCCGCGTCACATCATGAAAGCTGTAATACTATTTTCCGCGTTGATAATCGAACGTCCCGTTCTAGTTTTCGTTAATTATTATTCTCTCTCTCTCTCTCTCTCTCTCTCTCTCTCTCTATCTATCTCTCTATCTCTCTATCTATCTATCTGTCTCTCTATCTATCTATCTGTCTATCTATCTCTCTATCTACCTATCTATATATCTATCTCTTCCTTTTGCGATGTCGGCATTTTGGCCGTTGCTGTCGAGCGATCCTCGTTCGCGTCATTTTAGGCGATATGCACTGAGATCTTTAACGAACTTCTTACGTGCGGTAAATAACAATATTTGCCAAAGTCTGCGGGCAAATACGTGCGGTTTTGCCCGAGATTCGTTAACATACTCTGAACTATGGTATTATCGGCCCGACTCTTACAGTTTTATTTGCAGTAATGGATGAGCGCTCGCCAATTTCAAAAGCAAAGATAATTTAGCGTATCGCGACCGCCTCTGGTGTATATTTTGCATTTATCTGCCGCACCTTGAGTCGACAAATATGTTTTCTACCGATGATTGCCAACGAAATTTACACGTCAAACATTTGCTTTTTTTGCTCTGACTAATTCGATCGCTCAAGTCTCGCAAGCGCGATCGTTTATAATACTCTATGCTTCAATTAATGAATCTAATGGCCCAACAAATCATTATCTTAACAATCGAGTGGAATTTGCGAAGGGATATTAATGCGAAAGAACCATGCGACGACGATTTAATACAATATTTTCATTTCTTTGGAGTGAGGATATTGTCGCTGTGGCCTTCGAACGAAGAACTCCTAAATTGGCTTTAGAGAGTTTCAGTTGAATGAGATGTAAGTAACAACAAGCTGAGCGATCCCACGTCTATCTCTTTAATTCCGGCAGATTTTAAAAGATCGGCAAACAAGCGCGTGTGTACGCCGAGAGCTACTTTATTCAAAATTTGCATGCCAAAGCGACGTGCATTTTGTCCGCAAAATTGCTTCGACCTACATGGTACATATCCGTGACCGACAGGGACGTTGGCTTAAGTCCTTCAAAAGATCGTATCTTTGAAGACAATTGCGTGCTGCTAATATGATGGCTGAGCTCATCATGCAGCGGGCGAGTAGAACTCGGTCCCCGGAATTTTAATGACCTTCAGATCCCGAAATACAGGAAAACATTCGGCTACTCCCGGGTAAAATTGTTGGTTTTTTGCGCTTGCGGTGGTGACCGACAGGGAACGAGGCACGATGAGTTTTCTTTGATTATTCCAAGTCGATTTTCCAAAACCGTAGACTTCGCGTTTATGCTGCTATGTCAGAGCCTAATGCAATGACATTCTTATTTATTGATTACGGCATTGTATTGCGTGTTAGCTTTACCAGATCGACTACACCGATGAAGAATATATGCATGTGATTTATATTTGATCGATTAATACTTTCTACGCACGATATTTCCGTGCCGATAATAAATCACATGCGTTAACGTTAGAATGGAGATTTTCTATTTGCACGAAATCGCCAATAGATGACTGTAAGAGTAAATTCTTTTTTTCACCTCGATTAACCGATATTGTTCCTCACATATTACTCGGCTATTTCAGAAATTCATCATTAAACCACATTCTGCACTCTTCCCGTTTACGCTTCGCTGTGTTCGATATAATAATCGATCGTTTAAAAAAATGAAAAATTAATCGCACGATGAAGCTCTGTTTTAGAGCTTCAGGGCAGAGTTGAAAAATCAATGAATCGAGCCCGTTTTGAGCTATATTTATTTTTGTTCAGGGACCGTGAGAAAGTTGCAAATAACGATTAAAAATATATCCATATTGTTCGACATTGTAAAGCGCACATTTCTACATTCTGTTATCTCAAAGCTTATCAAATTGTAATGTTCGAGATAGATTGTCGAAGACAGATATCATATAATCCACTAAAAATATCTCGACGGTTTCGTCTGAGAGCAAGACGATTGTTATTTATAACGATATAAATAAGAAACGTAATAAATACGTTTTTCTGATTTTTTTTTTTTTTTTTTGCATTAGAATCGTAAAATTTGAGCCAAAATATGTAGGAAATTTTTGCAACGTCAAAATTATTCTTAAACCTTATGTTTTTTTTTTTTTTTTTTTTTTTTTTATGTATTTTTAACCGCAATCAAGGCAGCTGAAAATGAGAATAATAAATATTCAAATATTTCTACTCACTCAATAATCATGATATATTCTATCTACTGCACATGCGTAATTGAATACACATCGAATTCGCATTAACCCAACTAATTACATTACGATAACCGAGTACAAATTTAAACATTTAATACGACATTACGGAATTCGGCTAATAATTATCATTTCAACGTGTATGATTTATATTGATATCTTTACAAAATTATTTATCACGTAATTTCTTGAGTGTAGTAGGAAGTATAGTTATTGCAATTAACATAATTAAAAATTACAGGTTAAGCTTTGTGGACGATGATATTTTATCGCTGAAACATTTACGTTATAGAGCTTAAAAAGATAATATATTTTTTATGTACAACATACCATATACAACGATGAAAAATCTCAATTTTTCAATAAAAATACAAATAATTTATAAGTTAGATAACAGATAACATAGTTACATTATAAATCGTATCGACAGATTATTAATAACAATATCTAATTGTAAAAGTATTTATCAATTACAGATGTAATATATATTAATAAATATACATTATAAATATAATACAATATAAATAAATATGATTGCATAAAGAAGAAAGATATATGATAGGTATAAACACAGTTTTGCATTGTGTATTATCAAATCACTTGAAAAACAATTTTTATGATAGAAACAATTAAAGAAATGCAAATTCTTTTTATAAAATTTTATTTCCACATTGGATATTGATAGAATGATTGTTGAAATATTAATAATATATGTGTATATATATATATATATATATATATATATATATATATGTGTGTGTGTGTGTATCGATATGTGATAATAATTTTTTTAAATAAATTTTCATATCACAATATGTGCTGTTGATGAAGCACTAGAATAGTAATTAGTTCAAAATATTAATGGCAGACATTAATTTTGTATATATGATAATTCTAAAACAATACCTTCAAAAATTCTATAATATTAATATAATTTTGAAATTTGTATATTTGAAAGGATATAAATAGCCCTACGATAATTAGAATTATCGAATTTATAAATATAATTTAATATAGAATTCCGTATTTAAAAATTCAATATCCTTTTTTAGTTCTCAAATCCTTCATTAGTTCTTAAAGCTCTAAATGTTATTGAAAATCGACAGAAACGCTCCTGAATTTAAAGATTTGGTATGATTTGATTGTTTTGTTAATGACATTATTACGTAATTTCAACGGAATTGCAATGAAGCTTATCGTGATTGCAGATACTTCACAGAGATTTCTTTCTAATCGTTTTTTTGTTTTTTTTATCATATCGAGAAAAACGAATTATAAATAAGTTAACATAATGGAAAATTTAGCTACAAATTTTTTATTAATATTATTTTTATGCTTATGCATTCCTTGAAAATCTGTGTTTTTTTGCTTCTTTTTTTTTTAAGTATCCTTGAATAATAGGAAATTTGGAAAAATACAGAAGAGTATTGGAGAATTCTGTGTAAAAAATAAATGCTTACGTAGCTCAAAATTTTTCATATACTTTGAATTACTCGAGAAACATTTTTTTTTATTATTTTGCAGCTGGAGGAATCATGGCAGGTTCCATCGCCACTTTTGCAGTACTATGGGTTTTTCTGCAAACTATGGGGCTTTTCGGTCCTCAGAACACGATTGGAGCCTTTAAATTACCCTTCACATTGGAAAATTATTTAACGTATAATAAAGGTATGGTATTATTCGTAATATAGTCATATTTGTATAGATTGTCTTTACTAGGCACATATTTCTTATTTCTGATGCTTATTTAACGGATGCGACTTGGGTACACGAAATCATAAAAGTGTTTTTAAATTTATTGTAAATAAGCAAATATTGAAGTATTGATTGCTGTATATTTGTGAAAACCCCTTTTTCCCTCTCTCTCTCTCTCTCTCTCTCTCTCTCTCTGTGCGTGTGTGTTGTGCAAACGAAGAAAATAATTCTTTTTTATATTTCTCAATTACATATAGAATTATTTATAATGAAAACTTAAAAGCTAGTATATCCTTTACAATGTTTGAAGGTTTGTTCTACCCATTAAAGCGATAATACATTCATATCATATAATCTATCATAAATATTTATTTCAATAACTACTGAAAACCTTCCTAATATTTTTTTTTTAATATTCAAAGAAAAATGCCACATTATCAAATACATAAAATGTCTTTTTAATAGACTCGTTTCACTCTTATCCTATCGCTACTCCCATAATATAAAATAAATCTTTATTCCTTTAAAAATGAAATATTATCCTGTTATAATAATCCAGCTCAACAGACGGATTTAAAACAAAATTTCTGCCTCGCACGAAGGCGATCGGTGAAATTTCCTCCATTTAGGGAGATAGAGACACAGACGCGCTCTTCACCCATTTTTTTAAACACGGTGAAATGCTGTTCGTAGGCCCAGCTTCATGGGATTCCGAATACAAGCCTTCTTTGGTTGTCGATACGGACACATACAAGATAAAGAGGCTGCCGTCCATCGACGAGAGTAGCCTCAACGCGTCGGTGGCATTTGCCATCGGCACCATCTCACGGATCGAACGCATAGAGGATAACCTGGTGAACTCGGGCGTGCTGCTTGTCCTCGACAGTCCTGCGCATCAGCACTTTCTGCATGATCGGCCTAATGACAGGGCTTTGGAGAAGAACTTGGAGGCAGTCATCGCGATCAAGGCATCCATTCAACTCTCCCAAGCGCATTGCACGAGGTTCGCTTAACAAATGCTCGTTGGGTATCGAATGAAGAATGCTTTTTTGGGTAATGAAATTGAGCTTAGACTCGTGAGCTTGAATTCTTGAGAGTGACGAAGTAATTGGGGATTTGCGTTTGTTTGCTTTATTTAAGCGAATGAACCGATTATTTGAGAATGCACGAGCAGTTGTTTGAATTGCTATAATGTCTTGAAATTTTTATATCGTCACGTAAATAAGAAGGCGCGTAATCAGGAGTGGAACCTTGGAGATCCTATTCCAAGCGGAATTTGAAGTTAAGAGCTACGGGGCAAAATGTTGAATTTATTTCAATTAAAAGTGCACTATAGAGCGCACAGAGAAGTTTGTAATTTCAAAATTACGTTGAGCGAAGGTTGGTTTTTTTTTTGTTTCTTTCTTTCTTTTTTTCTTTTTTTTTTTTTTTTTAAATAGAAATTAAACAATTCTAACGTCGTTAGTTTTGGAAAAAAATATTCTTAATGATTGGGAAAGGTAATTCTTTCGGCAATAGAAACGGGAATTTGTAATTGTCAGGCCATATGAAATTATCAAAGGTACATGTAACTGATATTGGTACAATCGCTTTCAACAGATACGGCTTGAACGAACACGATTGTGCTCAAATAATCTCGACACTACCGCTTGGCAGTACCACTGTGGGTGTCTCGTGCGCAATTGATCAGGACGTCGACTGTAATGTGGAATCCAAGTATCGCACGTACGACGGTAGTTGCAATAACATCCAAAATCCAAAATGGGGTAGCGCTTTCACCGGCTATGGAAGGCTTCTCTTTCCTCAATACGCCGACGGTAAGAGTTGCATTCCAATAAATTTTATCAAAGACTATTTATTAAACACATTAAAGTCAGAGTTTATCTTTCCTGATAAAACTTAACGATCATCATTAGCAGTAATTGGATATTAATTAAGAATGTTCCATAAGTTTGTTGAAAATAAATGTTGTTTCTCGTTAAAATTGCTCTTCGATTTCATAATATACACTTGCTTAAATCGAATGATATTTTATTTCTTTGTTAGCCACGAGAATTGAAACTTTAAAATCGTTACACAAAATCGCTATACAATGAAAAATATAATATAATATAATAAAAGGAATGTTTTCAAATAATATTTGTATTATTATCTAATTTTTCTTCCATAACAATTATCTTCATTGATCCATTGAATTACAAATATTTTTTAGTATAATTTGCAGTCAACGGTTAAAGTAAATTATCAGGCGGGATCGATTTAACATTAATTGTTATTATTATTTCTTAAAAATTTAAACTAGTGATTTAATTTAAACAACTGACTTAATTTAAACAATTACTTATAATTTTCATGCATCAATTATTAACTATATTTTTACAAATCCTACATCTCAATATCTGTTCGAATTTTCATGACAATCGTTTTAATAATAGAAATTTATTTAGGTGCACAAAAAAAAGAAGACTTGTATTCCCCAAGCAAAGACACTATCTTTACAGTGGTTTTCTGATAATTGCATGAGAAAAACGAAAATTGTAAAAATAACTTAATACAAATTTTCATCAATATAAATATTCGACTCGTAAGCATTAAAACGAAAAGCTTTGATAGAAAAATTAATCATTATTATGACTTTATTGATAAAAAAAGAACCAGCTATTTAACACAATTTCTCAATTTCTTGACTATTTAATATTTGATAAATATAATGTTGCTATAAGTTGGTATTATCTATCTCGGTAAGGTGTAGTAAACTAAATTTCTAATTCATATATATAATTATTGTTAACAAACGTCATCTAATCTATATGCTAGTACTAACAACACCTTATTTAAATTGTTTATACAAGTTTGTAAGTCTAAAACGAAGTACTAATCTTTCTATTATATGCGTTTAATATAAGTTAATCTCAGCAAGATTAAGGCAAGCTCATTGCAATAAATGCTACTTAATCAATTTTTTTTTTATAAATATCGACGCCTCTATGAATATCTTTGTAAACGCATATGATACATTAATTTATTTATTTTCTTAAAAATCCATATTAATTCATTGATATAACATTACTTTTATTAACACTTAAATGCATTAATTATAATGCCATTATTCATACAATTAAATATTATCTTATACTGTGTTATCGTATTCGTGGAAGACTTTTGTTATATAATAGATAAAATGATATAGATATATTTATAGTAATTTTAAGCTTTTATTAAGCAGAATACAATTTAATTGGAAAAATATTGTATAAAATTAATGTCGTCTTTTGTTACTCATTGATGTTAAAAATTTATGAATCGCGTAAATTATACTAAAAATTAATTGTTGAATATGATATAATACACTTTGACTTATACTTGTTATACTGTTTTAGTTTATTACGCATTTCAAGAAAATAATTTTGATGAAAAACTTCTTTTTTTAAAAAAATTTTTTTTTTTTTTTTTTTTTTTTTTTTTTTTTTTTTGATGTTGACGATATTAAACAGGTATTATCTACTAAATGAGAACTGCATTTAAGCATAATATTAAAATAATTTAGGTTTGTGAATTATTTGTTAATCTAGTCGGATAAATTTCCAAAGATAAATAAATATCTTACCTTCGATTATGAGTATTTAAAAATTACTAAGTTTATAAATTTAAGCATATCTTTTTAATTTTCTTTTTAAATTTCCACTAGCAGTGTGAAACCTTTTAAATACTTGATGTTCATTGTCAACTGATGTAGACATTCGATGTTTTACGTATTTTGTATCTTCACAGAACATTTACACTTTTTGCACTGCTTTCAGATATATAATAATTTATTTATTATATAACATATATGAGCACTACATTTTTGTTAATCATATTTAAATACTTTGGGGTAAAAACTGCTTAATTTTTTTATTTTTTGTTTATTTTTGACATATTTAATACTTTGTGTTTGAAGATTAATAATCGAATAATTATTTCCAGCCTTTAAACATTTGGCGTATCCGTCTTTCCATTGTCCTTTACTTTCCGTCGTAATACCACTGGCAGTTATTAACATTGAGTATTAAAAAAATTAAAATTAAAACTCGTTGAAATTGCTACGATTGAAAAAATTTTGCCCTAAGCAGAAATAATAATTTATAATGACGCGAATCTTACCAAGTCAAATTCGAATCTAATTAAAATCTTACCAACCCAAATTCCACTCAAGTCTAGACAATTGAATTTGCTATTAAGTGTAATTTATAATTAAGACTTGACATATTAATAATAAAAGTTTAATAAATAAAATACTCGATTATAAATTCAAGCACACTCAGATATTTGTAGAGTAAATAACCTCTTTGTATCCTTAAATCGATCTTATCCCTATACGCCACGTGGAATAAAAAACGGTCGTCGATTGGCTTAACAAATTATATTTTTTCTGTGATTTGCATTACAGTTGTTGTGCGCGTAAAGCCACATAGAGCATAATATCCCCGAGTGTAGCAGTGAAAATATAACTGTCTACAATAGGGTGACCCAGTCGGGAGATTATCCAGCAATAGACGTGTATGTAACCTAATTCGGATATACCTTTAATATATAATGTATATAATTATCACATACGTATAATATAACCGATGAAACCGTCTTTCCGTTTCACATAAAATGAGAAGCGCGGCTCGCGGTATTTTTCGTCCCGGGATAGCGAATCGGCTACCGAAGATTATATAAAATTATTGCTGAAATTCTAAATTATAAAGATATTGTAATGATAGATCATACATAAGTGTCCGTCTGTCTGTGTGTGATCGCGCGTGGTTTCGCTTTTATGCTACGATCGAATGAATTCAATCGGAAACTGCATAATGACTTGGTAACGAATTTAAATTCCATTTTAATATTAGACAATTGCATAAGTAATCTTCGAAACAGTCACGATTCGCTCATCACGAGGAATTTCAAATTATATGGTTCTTTTCTTTTTCTTTTTTTTTCTTCTTTTTTCTTTTTTTTTCTTTTGCCGATTGTAGCGCGAGAGCTGATTTACGTTAGTGATATGCGCGCGCACCTTTCTAGAAAACTTGGAAGCTGGAGCCGCATTTTTAACTTTGGTAACGGTGTTTTATTTGCAAAATAGACGGCTGGAAAACTCACAGGTATCGCCGATCAATAATAAATGCATTTCAATCAAAGCGACGAGAGCTTCGAAGTTTTGGTTTGCCATTTTTATTAGAAACAGACGATAGGGGAGACCGTGTGAGATTAGATAGAGGGTGATTTAATTTAGGCTGTGTTAGGTCTTATAGGCTGACACGACAGAGTAACAGTCCAGATCATCGGGCGCTACCACATATTCACTCTCGCGCTGCATGAATTCACCTAGGCTAATTTCAATGAAAATCGGAGTAACTAATCGGAATTTTCAATTAACTTTCCCTCCCCCCTATGCCCTATCATTACTCAATTCGTTCAAAGCTTTGCGACCAATCATTATTGCCAAGGGCTTTCAAAATTACAAAGGCGATTCGATTGGGATATTAAGGCAATAATCCGTTATCACGAGGCAAACAGACTTCCGACTAACAACTCCAAACTCACCCTGATCTGAGACACTTTACAGTGCCATAAACAAGTTACTCCGATTTGTCGAGCATGATAACGCGCGAAGCCGTGCGGTGGCTAATTATTATTATGGGCGCAGGCATCCAAATGCCGAGGAAGGAGCAGGGGGTGCGCGGCCTGCCGAATCCCAGAGCCGTGAGCGTCTCCTTGGCCTCCCAGTGCGACAAGGTCGACGTGTCAAGGACGCTCGCTCTCATGCAATGGTCCCAGTTCGTCTCGCACGACATCGCCTACACACCTGTGCGCAAAATGAGTAAGTCACGTTATGATTAATCCTGCTAAACTTGCATTTAATCAGACTTATTTGTCATTTGGAGCTGCTTTCACGATGTCGTGGAAAGCGAATTTCGATCATGGGTTGCTCTCACTGCTTCCCTCTGCCCAGGCTTTATTACGCACAATATTAAATCCTAGAAGGGCTTGGAGGAGAAAGAGCTAGCCTCGCGACAACGCACTCGTGATTTAATTAATTCATTTAGCTTGAAGAATTAATGATAAATTAATTGGTTTAGCTTTACCGCGTTCGCTCGAGTGCACGGTAATTAATTATTGCTGCGATTATGAATTCTTTAGTTTGGACTGGCAAGCCGATTTCATGCTGTCGATCGGATGATCAATGGCCATTGCCACGTTACATTCATCCCGATTGCCAAGCGATTTCCGTTGCCGAGAATGATCCGATTTATGGAAAGTTCCGAGTTCGATGCCTCAATTACGTAAGATCTCTAGCAGCTCTAAGATCCGATTGTTCCTTCGGCCCAGCCGAACAAGTAAGTACATAAGATGTTGGCGAACTGTTAAGACCTGCGCTTTCTGTCGCGCTAGCAACGATCTTCATATTAATCTATTATTCCTGAAATTTTCTCTCTCTTATTTAGATGAATCAAGTGAGCCACTTTTTGGATGGTTCGACAATTTATGGTTCGACGTTAGCTCTGGCTTATAAACTTCGTGCTTATAAAGGTGGTCTGCTACGCACCAACACTATTAAAAACCGAGAGTACTTGCCTATTACAGAATTGGCTTCGAATTCGTTGTGCAAATTGAAAAATTGTTACTTATCCGGTATGTGATCAATATGCTTAGTATTTATTCGAAAATAAGTGTACTTGGTATGTCGTTGGCTCGTCTGTTTTGTAAATCTTTTCTTAAAGTCCTGTGCATTCCCATGAACATTAGCATATTACGTAAATTAGCATTAAGAAAATCTTTAGACTTCACGTTGTATGTTTAATCGAGTCGCTTAATCGAGCGGTCCAGCTCAATATATACATATAGCGAACAACGGAGTACTTATATATTTAATAAAAACACGTATATGAAGTATGCACGTGGCAAGCTAATAGCCCGAGTGTAGTCAACAAAGGCACATTACGAGCGTTGGAAAAGCCAAATTTCGAAACTTTCGTAAAAGAATTGAGAAGGCAGTTGTTAATGACAATGATTTTGTAGGCGACGAGCGCGTAAACGCCGAGCCCCAACTGGCTGTGATGCATACAATTTGGGTCCGCGAACACAATCGCGTGGCCCGCGAACTCGCTAAAATAAATCCCAAGTGGTCGGATGAGAGCCTTTATCAGGAGGTCCGACGCATTATAATTGCCGAGATTCAGCACATCACGTACAAGGAGTGGTTGCCACTCCTTATCGGCAATCACTACTTACGTGCCGTTGGTCTTGGCATTACAACAAATTACAGCAACTCGGCCTACAGTTCGTCCAGCGATCCGTCGATTAGCAATGAAGTGGCTACCGCCGTTTTGCGCTTCCACGAATCGCTTAAACAGGGCATATTGAGGTGAGTCAACATTTCTCAAGTTCAAGTTATCTCGTTACTCTGTCAGCCAAGTTCAGTGTCAGGGCATAAAATTTATTTTCCCTTTTACTTTTAATTCAGACAATTCGGATATGGACAATTGATACCAACTATACGATTAATAACGGCTTCTTATAATGGAAAACCGTGGATTAACGCCGTATTTTTATTACAAACGATTATTACTTGTATTCCGTATCGGTAAACGTTTGTAAGCAATACGTCGCATTAGTTTATACAGAGAAGTAATTTATTTGGCGCGTATGATCGTTCGCTGCAAAGATGCATATTCATTATTATTTTCTCTCGTGAATTAATTAGCTTGTTGCATTGAAGCCTCGAGCTTAGCAAGAAAAAAGGAGAAAAACAAAATGACGCCTTTTGCACCGATTCTCTCGACATTCGAGAAAAGAGCGCTCTTTACTTTAATTTTATTTTCAGAATAAGCGATAACGATAGGAATATTATTAGCAGTATGAATCTATCGGACTACTTTTATAAGCCAAGATCAATCGAAATAAACGATACTTTCGATGGTCTTATCAACAGCCTTACCACACAGATCTCACAACAAATGGATCTTCACTTGATCTCAGATGTAAGTCTTTTTTACTTATATTAGTTCCTAAAGTACCAGTCTACCTCATGTACAATTGAAAAATAGGACAGAGAAGTAAATTAAATTAACAATGATATATTATTTAATAGTTGACGAATCAGCTTTATAAGACTAACGGCACTATAGGTCTCGATCAAATTAGCATTGATATTCAGCGAGGTCGAGATCACGGTCTTCCAGGCTATAATGATTATCGTAAACACTGTGGTTTACGCAAGGCAAAGACTTTTGATGATTTCTTAGATTACATTCCGATCGAGGTAAGCAAGCCGGTCGTATTTATTGATATAATCTTTATTATATATTTAACATTTGTCTCGAGCGTTTTCGTCATAATTTATCATAATCAATGCTATACAGCATAATGCATGCTTAATACATTGCATATTATATATTTGCAATTACTATATTTGCAATCTAATCGTTATCATAAGAATTACAGGTAGTGTTATATATAATTGTCATGCTATTTTAATTAAATCAATGACTCTTACAGACGGTGATGAAATTGAAAGATCTTTACAAGCGCCCGGATGACGTTGATTTGGTGATTGGTGGAATGGCCGAAAGTTCGGTCGATGATGCCATTTTGGGACCAACATTCCGCTGCCTTATATCCAGGCAATTTCTGAAAATTCGTCGTACCGATAGATTTTTCTATACTTCCATCGAACAGCCCGAATCTTTTACCATATGTAAGATACGCATAATATATGAAATATAAAATAGAAACATACAAAATAACAGCTAGATATGACAACTTTATCGTAAATTAATTCAATTACAGCACAGTTAAATGCTCTGGAGAAAGTAACGTTGGCGCGAATTTTCTGCGATAACGGCGACAATATTAATAGAATACAGCCAAATGTTTTCTTAAAGCAACAAATTGGGTAAGAATCAATCACATTAAAATGCATAAACAAAGTAAAGTATTTTTATTACTGGAGTGTAGATATCGACACGTTAAAATTGCCTTTGATAATACGTATTATCGTCTCGAAGTTTGCATAAATTAATAGACCCCTGTGGCCTGTAGAAAAATTATTATTATTACAAAAAAATATGATCCATATATCTTCATTCAACTCTCAAATCCATGATAATAAAAACATCGTATGATTTTCTTATACAAGCCTCTAAAAATTACAAATAAATTTTTAAATTACTATCGTTTATATTTCTAGAAATGAATTACGGCCCTGCACCGATTTCCAAGCGATACCAAGTATCGATTTATTCGCATGGGCAGAGAAAGCAAAGGCTTACCGTTGAATGGCTTTAAGATTGACTTGTCACTCTTCACATCGAATGTCTCGGCAAACGTATGACACGGCCCGGGATAATATCGGAAGGTGAAAAGAATGGGGCGTTGGTTTTTTTCGGCGATTTCTAGTTCAAAAAAAAAAAACAAAAAAACAAAAACAAAAAACAAAAAAAAAACAAACAAACAAAAAAAACAAACAAAAACAAAAAACAACCAAAGGAGAATGAAACAATGAGCTTGTCAACATTAGATGTTTTAAAAACGACTTTTAAAATGTTATATTATCAATCTAATCTATGAATGGCGAGATTAATAAGTCCAAATTTACCAAGAACAAAATTCAAATTACACTCTATTTGGAGCTTTTCAATTAACAAGATTTAAAATAAAAATCACTTCATTAGTATTATATTTTACATCTTGACAACAACAATGTCCACAAATGTTAAACTTGAATGATGATACGAGATTTTATCGAATTGTGAATCTTTTAAATTTTACGACTGTAACGATACGAGCTTTTCAGTCACGTGTATTGCCATCTAATTTGCCTTGATAGCGGGCTATCGAGGAAAGGGGTTCGAATTTAGGGGAGCATAAAATAAAGAAAATATACAAATAAATAAATAAACAACAACAATAATAAGAGTGCATAATTGTTTGATATTTAGAGAATAAAAGTGAACATTGTTATTTATTTAGATATTTCTTTGTTATTAGCTTATGACGGTGATGTGCTGTCCTGCTAAATTGTGACGCACAATTGTGCGAACTGTAATTGCGTTTAGATATCACAAATTTTATAATGACTTCATAATATTTCGATTAACTCGGTTGACTATTATTTTTAAAGCGGAATATCTGTCAAGTATATATACGTATATATACGTAGGTACGTATGCACGTATATGCGTATGTGTGTATGTACGTACGTACGTACGTGTGTGTGTGTGTGTGTGTGTGTGTGCGCGCGCGCGCGCGCGCGCGTATGTATGTACGTATGAAAAAATGTATGCGTGTTTGTATGTATGTATGTATATACGTGTGCATAAGTTGAAACGTGAAATAATCGTTTTCATAAGATTTTAGAGTTTTTATCGAGGTTTCTTTTCACTAATTTAACTAAGTAACTTAACTCATTCATTGATCAAATTTATTCTAAAGCTCAAAATTCTAATAAAAGTAAAAAATAATTTAACTTGGAAAGGTTTGAGTTCATGCGACTTTTTGCAAGGGAAGACAGAACAGGAATAATATGACGTTAAAACAATTGATTATTTTTTCTGAGTGGCAGCTGTAATTATCTCAGCGATGACTCGATTTATCTAGTTATACGAAAGGTTATTTATTGTCCACGAAGGCTGTGTTCTAAACCAATGACGTATGTACAAATGCCCTCGCCACCTCGAGGTCACTCGAGGTCGATAAATATATCATGGTTTCATTCTTCCATCGGGTGCTGATGATGGTTATGATTAAATATAATGAAATAGAAAAGCTCGAAAAAATTCTTAGCAATCAAGAATGCCGTACCTTTTGGCGAATATTCGCAACGTTCAATTAGTGCTACAGATTAGTCTTACCTAAATAATTCTAATCGACCATGTGGTGGTATCATAGTAGCATAATGACTATGACTCTTTAAATTCTCCCATTTAAACAAGTCAAATAAAATTCAGTATTACCCTATGAAGATTTGTTATCAATGTGGTGGAGGTATTACGTGCCCATTGCATCTTATTTTAGCATCGTATACTGAAAATACAATCGAATGCCATAGATATTAATTATTGAGATACCTTAATAGAAACAGCGAAATAAATGTGCCGAACTGAAACCATATATCTAAAAGCACTGCTAATCTCTAGAAATACGTAAATGTCCTTTTTAACGACATGGCAAACATGCTTTCTCAACTGTTTTATAACTTGCGAATCTGTCAGAGAAGATTATTATTATCGAGTCTTCGTATCGTTACATGGAAGTCAAACAGAGACTGCTTTAAAGCTGCGAACTATCGTTAATAAAAAAAAAAAAAAAAAAAAAAAAAAAACACAAACACAAACAAAAAACAAAAATAAAACATAAAACAAAAGGATAAATAAACCTCTAGAAAGCATAATTATTCATTGTAAAGCTACAACGCGACTAAGCAGCAGAAATACTTATTTCATTAATTTTTTAAAAGGTGAGGGATAAATTTCAAAGCTCGTATGGATCGTATGAAGAAAGTATGTATTTATGTTTCTTCATTTATTAATACGAAATACTTTCATTAATAGACATTGGAATGAAAACTTTTAATAATATTTAAAAACTTGAATATCATTAGTTTATTAATTTGAATTTTATTAATTAATTAATTATATTAATTAATATTAAAAATAGTATTTAATTTTCGATTATACGCGTAAGATCAAATAATGTTCAAACCCCCATCACCGTATGATTTTCTCAACGTATTCACATAAAAAATAATCTCAGCATATCGACGTTGTTAACTATTAATCTCCTTTGGGCAAATTTATACACATTATTTCAATTAATCAGTTTGTGTATTATGATAATAATATCAATATATTTAGTAAAATATGCAAATTTATCATTAATATAAGTTGGTATAAAAGAAAATGAAAAAAATGAAGATTTTGGAAACATAGCAGTAAAATTATTAACAATTTCAATTTGTCATTCTTTTGTTTCAACTTAAAAAAGGCAGAAGAAAAAAAACCGAAAATGGCACATGTCACATATAATTTAAATATTATTAATATCGCTTTATGAATACTGATCGTAATAATCTATTAGGAATATTTCACGATTAACAAAACAATAGAATGTGAAAATCAATTTAATGTAAAATACAATTTAATTTGCAAAAAAGTGATAAATATATATACTAATGCATACCAGACAAATTGCATCAATATCAGAGGCAGAAATGCGAAAGAAAAAACCAATAAAATTTCGCTCGAAAGTGACTCGTCAACACTAATTTACGCTTTGAATTATATAAATCTTAATTTTTAATTACACGAGTGTGATAAACGTATAAGTATGAGTGGATTGGGAGAATTTTATAGTGAAGAAGTGAGAACTTGATACGCTTTAAATGTAACTATAATTCACTCTGTTTATACGAGAACGAAAGTGTATATCAATTAATTTAAGATTTGAGATATTTTATTTAAGTACTGTGGAGTTCAGTACATAAAATGCGACTGATTAATTTTTAAGAAATTTAGATCTGTACATTATCTGTATTTATTTTGTATACGTACTTAATAATGCAGAATATAAACAGCAACATGTTGTTTTTGTGATTAATGAAGTTGAATAAAATAATGTCAATTAAAACATAATATATATTTTACATCATTCGTATGTTATTATTCATTATTCAAACATCGACATAAAAATTTTCGGAAGTATTTATATTCCAAATTAATTGGAAAAACAAAACTGTTCTACAAATTTTATTATCATAACGAGTATGAGATTCTCTTGAAATTTTAAAACATTATGCATTTTCTTTGTTATGCAAATGATTTTAACACATTTTACGTTTTTAAATCTAATTTATTCTCAGAATATGGTTTAATGATTGACAGTATAACGCACAATGAATAAATAACATCAAAAAATATAATATTCGGTTAAACTTATGATACTCATAGAATTCAATGTGTTCTGAGGAGTATTTAATTAAGACTGCTTAAAATTAAGTTTGAAAGTGGAAAAGCAAAACAAAAAATTAAAATTATTTATAGCAATTAAGTCTGAAGAATATAAAAAAAAAAAAAAAAAAAAAAAAACTTAGACCTTGATACAGTTTTCAAATCCTCTCATTTTACTTGCACTTTCGATTGGCATTTTTTTCCTGTTACCGTAATTCGTATATTCCGTTAGATGAGAAAGTCAGTATTCGTTTACCTTGCACGGTCACGAGCGCTAAAGTAAACAGATTTGAAATTCCTTATAAGCTAAGATACCAATTTTGTCCAATTGCACACATTTAATGCTACGTGAGTCTTTTCGGAATTTCACGCCTTCGGCGTATCTAATGGAGCCGAAGTCCGATTCGCCAGGGACAGAAAGGTGATATTTCACTTAATAAAATGTACTTTGCTACGCATACGTGTTGCAAGCAATGCATTAAGACTTAGATCAAATGTGAGCAAAATAACTAATGAAAAACATCACGCGTGCGTACAATTATCACTTTTAATTTTGACGAATATGGAAAATGCGTTTAAACGAAGAAACAAAACAAAAAAAACAAAAAAAAACAAAAACAAAAAAAAAAACAAAACAAAAAAACAATACGTAAAGCGCGTAGAAGAATATTTAAATAATTCGTATTCATACTTCAATAAGGCCGTAAAATGGAGCTTTTTCTTTCTTTGTCTTTTCACTCCAAAAGGATGCTTTTATTTTTATCTTTACATTACCTCAGGCATACGAAGGTAAAACAATACTATACCCAACAAATAATGGCGCACATAGTATTTTATACCACCAAATGACAACCTTGCCCTTATTTTGTTTGACTGCACTATTCGTTACATTAGCGTCTGCATGCCAAAGTAAAAAAGCCTTTCAGAATCGTGGAATATAATAACTTTTCTACGAAAAGTCGCAACGAGAAAAGAATCGAGGACGGCTCTCGCAAAGTCATGGAAAACGATCGGATTACAACATGTCAATTAGAACATTGGCAACTCACCGGCTCGGGACGTTGGTAATGAAATATGTTACACGAGTCCAACGAGTTTCTTGTATCGTCATTCATACCATTATAATTGGTTAGACTCGATGGAAAAATCATTGTCTACCATGGAATTGAATGGAAAGAGCGCGATAAATGTACACATCGATATTGATTTTGACGATACAACACGAAGTTACGAGGAAGGATAATCCAACGTGACTTTAACGATAATTATTAATTAGTGAGAGTAACAGTGAATAACGATGATAGAATAAATTACATTAGAGCATTAATTTATTCATTTTTCTAAATTTATAAGCAGCGCGAACTTTTATTTCACTAGTGCAGATCGACTTCCATCTCGGCAGTTTAAATTGCTTCGAAACTTTATTGGAAAATGATTCGAGAAAGTTATAGATCCAAGTTGTAAGAG